TACCTTACCTTGACTACGGATACATACGCACGACTGCCTGTCTTACCCCACTGCTCGGCGTCCTGCATCGACTACCTACACTACCTTACCTGGCCCAAGATTGCCTGCGCTGCTTTGCCTGCTGCAGAACGGCCTGATCTGCCAACCCCGCGAGTCGGAAAATCCCAGACCCAGACGAGGCAATACCCCACGACACCACGATCATCCACCGTCGTCGTCCCGGAGAATCGCTGTCGCCGTCCGGTCCTCCTCTCCAGCCTCACTTCCCCCCCTCCACCCCTCCTCCACTTTCCTTCTTTTCCCAGACTGCGTCCTTAGCTTTAAGGACCGCCTACTCCCGCCAAGGTGGCTTCCAGTCAGCCTCTTCTGGCATCTTCTGGTGCCCTGTCCAACATCACAGCATTGCTGCCCACCTCCCTCCAGCTCTATCTCGACAAATCCATCGCCAGCCTAGCCGCCCTCATCGCTGATTATTCCGACTTCCTCTCCGATAAAACAGGTGTCGACCCGAACCTCATCCTCTACAGTACCATTGGCTGCATCCTGCTTGCCGTGCCCTTCACCATGTCTAGATACGGCTGGTCCACGAATCGGGAGCAGATATCTCCCTACACCTCTACCATGAGCGGTGTCCCCGACGTCACCGACGAGGACTTTAGCTACATCACCACCGAGGACCTCCAGTCTTCCTCCCTCGGCAGCTCCGTCCCCACGAGATCATATGCCCACAACCCGAGAAGGACCAGCGCCCCCGTCCCCGAGGACGACGTGCTGCTCATCAAGAACAAGGGCGTCACCTACCCCACCCACTTCCCCGCCTACACCATTGGCGACGGCAAGCTTCGCGTTCGCGATGTGCGAGACCGTGTCAGCGTCTTGTTGGAGCTGTCGGAGCGTCGCGGGCGCAAGGTCAAGCTGCTCTACAAGGGCCGCCAGCTGAAGGATGCCGCCGCGCCGGTGCGGGACTACGGTGTCAAGAACAACAGCGAGGTCATGGTTGTGCTCCCCGATGGCGACCTCGAGCCTGAGAGCAGCGACGACTCAGACGAGGAGATGGTTGTGGTGGCTGGCGACGGTGGCAGCACTGTCGGCAGCGCCGCCGGCACCGACGACGGCAAGAAGCGCCGCAAGGGCAAAAAGGGCCGCAAGTCGAAGAAGGGCGGCCGAAGCAGCAACCACACCAGCCCTCGCGATAGCGCATCAAATCTCGGCGTCCCGGGCACCGACGCTGGCAGGTCGCCCACGCCCATCAGACAGGCCAATGGACCCCACGCCAAGCTGGATGCCATTGCGTCGCACTTTGAGACGGAGCTGCTCCCGCTCTGTGACAAGTTCATTGCAGCACCGCCGACGGACCCCAAGAAGCGCGAGGACGAGCACCGCAAGCTCTCCGAGACGACAATGCAGCACGTTCTACTGAAGCTCGACGAGGTCGAGACGGAAGGCGACCAAGAGGCCAGAGCGAAGAGGAAAGCCCTGGTCCAGCACGTTCAGGATGTTTTGAAGCGTCTAGACTCTAGACTACGCTAAGATACGTTGATACGTTCACGAGATACCCGGCACTGCACATGCCTATGGTGTCTCGACAAGACGGTACTACTAAGAAGAATTTGGGATTGATTGCGAGACGCATGGGAGGTTTTCTTCGGTTTTCTGCATCTTTCAGCGAGAATTGCATCTAGAGCCGCGTAGAGAGGCGGTCAGCACGTTCAGGGAGGCTTGTGTTTGGTACGATACGAAGTTCGTCACCCGTTAGTTATCACGGTTGCCTCAACCGGGTTGGCGAGGCGCACTACTGGCGCCGTAGTAGACAGGAATGGCAAAATGGCCCAAGGTTTTTCTGGGATCTTCACTCTAGCGATTGCGCACATGATGGTGATGTGGATTGTATGCGGCCCTGAATCTTGTATCGCAGTCGTGTCGTCCAAGCAGGGCTGCAGCGTGACGTGAACATCATGGGCAGTCAAGGGGGCATCCTGGTCTGGCGCTTGTGGACTTGACGTCGGCTTATTCAGCAACGGTCGTCGGTCGACCGTCGTTGGTATGGACTCCTCCAGGTTGTGTCGATCGGGGGGGAGTCAAGGCCAGGTCCAGTCCAGAACGGTGCCCCGCCTCCCAGTGTCGGGTCCGGGCATTCCACACCGAGGTGAGCCGCCCCTTCGCCGGTCGGTCGGGGCCTCGGTGTGCTTTTGGTAGGTCTCGTTGCCCTAACCTGCCTCAGGCGCGAATCCAACCCTCGCTTGCCGTCCAGCCCGCCTTGCCCAATGCGGCTAGGGCGGCTCCACCGGGTGCACTCACAGCAGGCGGCACGGGGGCTTTCTTTCTGCAATTTTGTGTGCGAGCAGTGACCTGTGTGTGCCAAATTTCTCCGCCCAGCTCCCGAATTCAAGATTGTCGCGACGACCTCTTCCCAAACTTACCATCCGACATCCTACTAACCCCAACGGCAGCACCCAGCCAGCGACAAATCTCTAACCGCCCAGAGGTTTGCAGTTCACCTTCGTCCCTTCCCTTCATTTTCAGCACAAAAGGAACAGGAACGATGTCCTCTTTCGAGCCGGTGGTGAGTCTCCTCCCGTCCATTGTGTTCCATTCGACATTTCGAGGTTTCGCGAGGGGGATTTGGTGGCGGCCGATCTGAGGGTTCTCGAGATGTGATTTGTGTGGGCGGACGCCACAGCAAGAGGAGGGCACACGAATGCGCGACGGGGTGGTCGCAGGAGAGGTGGACGGTCTTTGCTGTCGCTGTCGCCGCGGCTGCTGGACATCGACGTCGCTGCTTCAATCGAGAGAACCCTCCTGTCCCGCCGACACACGCACACGAACATGACACCCGGTGGCAGATCGCTAACTCGAACGCCAACAGGTCGTCGTTGACGGCAAGGGCCATCTCCTTGGTCGTCTCGCCTCTATCGTTGCCAAGCAGCTCCTCAACGGCCAGAAGGTCGTTGTCGTCCGCTGCGAGGCCCTCAACATCTCTGGCGAGTTCTTCCGTGCCAAGCGTATGTCGAATCCCATTCCCCGCGTCGCACTCAGTCAAAGATCATTAGAAGAAGGACAATACTAGTCCAGGCACGAGAAACCAAGACTGCAGTGGACGTCGGCTCACCGTCACGCAACATACTGATCAGATGCCTACAGTCAAGTACCACGCCTACCTCCGCAAGATGACCCGTTACAACCCGACTCGCGGTGGTAAGCCTCTACCCCTCCGATTGCAGACAACCCCCCGCTCGATCGCAGTCTGACCCCCCGTCTAGGTCCCTTCCACTTCCGCGCCCCGTCGAGAATCTTCTACAAGACCGTCCGCGGCATGATCCCCCACAAGACCGCCCGTGGTGCTGCCGCCATGGAGCGCCTCAAGGTCTTCGAGGGTGTCCCTCCCCCCTACGACAAGCAGAAGAAGATGGTCGTCCCCCAGGCCCTCCGCGTCCTCAGATTGCAGCCCGGCCGCAAGTTCTGCACCGTCGGTCGCCTCTCCCACGAGGTCGGCTGGAAGTACCAGGACGTCGTTGCCAGGTGGGTTTCTCTCCGACATGAAATCTCGATGGAGCGTTCGACTAATACCGCCGCAGACTTGAGGAGCGCCGCAAGGCCAAGGGTGCCGCTTACTACGAGCGCAAGAAGGTCGCTCAGCGCCAGATCACCGACGCCAAGAAGAACGCCAAGGTCGACCAGAAGACGGCGCAGGCCCTCGAGGCCTTCGGCTACTAAACGTGGCCGCTTCGAAACTTCCCTCTCGGGTCTGACGACGAGCGTCTCAAGCTGCTGCTGCTGACGTGCTCCGGGAAGCTCGGGGGTTAATCCTCGTTCCCCCTTGCATCCTAGCACCCGGCGGCGGCCACGATACCACATTTGACGATCTACGGAGGGAGTTTTGCTCGCGCATTTCTGTCCTCTTCCTCGTGCTTCCTCATAGATGGCGTGGCGGTTCAAGGGAAATTCTTCATTTTGCTGATGGCACAATGGGCTGGTCATATTGGAGCGGCGGGGGAAAAACACACATCAACGCACTACTTCATTGGGGGGAGGGGAAAAAATTGACTTGTGGTGAGTCTCTGGGGTTTCCGAGGGACTCGCTATGGGGAAGACATTTGTTTCGTGTTCATCCCCAAGGCGGTCTCGTAACAGGAAACCCGTTCCCCCTACATTTTTTCTCGCAATAAGTCACAAGAGAAATCAATCAAGATGATTCATGTCCACAAAAGGTGTGCGGGTGTTCTGCGAATCAAAATGGGCAATGGGAATTGATTTTTATGGTACAAACAAGAACAACCTTTTCCACATTTGCCTTCCGCCCACGCATGTAAACCGTTTCTCTTCCTGTCCTTTGAGCAAGGTGTGTGGTATGTGTGGGATCTGCTCGCCGTCCATGTGTATTTTCCCACGGAACAAGCTGTAGTCCAGATGAGGCGATTGAGGGATGGACGGGAAAGAGATCATGATCAGAAGAAAGAGAAGAGTATACCACGGAATTTGGGAGGAAACAACCTGGCGAGGCGTCTTGTGCTTGCATAGAAGTAATTGATTCGTTACAATCATTGTAAATGAGCCAGGCGAGTAAATGATGGTCCATGGGTGGGCGATGACGTCCCGTTCGTGTTTACCGTGCCCCGCCGCCAACGACGAGACGTGTCGGCCATCGCGAGGAGACGCGTGTGATGGTGTGCCCTACCCGCGCCCTATGATGGCTTCTGCCGGGATGCGTGCTCTTTCGTGGGCTAGATGGCGGTGGGATTGCGTACCTCGAGGGTGGGCTTGGAGTTTGGGGTGCTGCTGAGGTGATGATATGATGTTGCAAAGCCCTCAGCCAGAACATCGGATCTGCTGCGCTTGGGAATCTGCGAGGTGATGGAGATTCATGTGAAAGTCTCCAGAGCGGAGGATATGTCACTCGGCGCGTGTTGCTGGTTCGTGATACGGTGGTGCAGTCGCTGGCAAGGCGGCGAGCTTTACGCGCATGCTACATGAAGTAATAATTGACTGCGTCCTTCATGAACGGGCGAATGGTTTAGTGGTATAATACTCGCTTAGCATGTGAGTGGTCCAGGGTTCGATTCCCTGTTCGTCCATCGTGTTTGCCCTCTGGCCATTTGGAGGTCGTTCGCTTTTGATGATTCAATTGGTTACCTCTATAAGGCGTACTTTTTGAACCCGGGTCATGTGTTTGCGGCCTTGCTGCAGGTTCTGGTAATTGTTTTCTTTTGAAACGATTGGGGAGCTGGGCGCTTGCCGTTTGGTCGCGAGCGGGTGCTTCCTTCAACGGAAGCAAGGTGCGGTGGGGCCGTGCCTGCGATTCCCAAATCATCGACCCCGCGACGCAGCGCAAGAGGTGATGAGATGGCTTCGTCTACGCCACAAACACCAAGAAAACTTGGAGACAAAAGTCAAGATGAGGAAAGCCATTCAAGAGACCCAAAGACGATGACAACGGACTCTGGACGGGGAGATGAGGGTCAAGCTGGCGAGCATGCCCCTCCTCAGGGCCGAGAGAGCGATGAGGCAGCGGCCAAGAAGGACAAGTAAGTCCTGTTTCCCGATACATATCCATTTACATGTTGTCCTTTGAGGATGACTGAATGTCTCTCGTGTTTGAAACAAGCTGACGGTCCGCGGGCAGGGAGTTCGAGGAGGCGTCCGCCGTGGTGGCGCGGCACGTCAAGCTGCTGCGAGAGTACAACGAGATCAAGGACGTGGGACAGCAGTTGATGGGTCTGGTAGCCGAGAACCGCGGGGCTACGGTGGGGAGTTTGTATGAGACGGGGGAGTTTGGAGTTGGGCCGAAGGATTGATGGGTTGGTGATGGTCTGAGGGGGGAGGGGAGGTGATTTGGACCTGTGATGAAAGAGAACGAAGAACGCCAATTGGACGGTTTAAAATGCAATCAGTTGATTTTCATGGCACGTTCAAAGAGATTCTTAATGTAATGAACGCAGGATATTGTGCTGTTGATGTTGAGTGATTTTTTCATCATGTGTTATTTCCAAGTTAAAGGCAGCACATGTTACCTTAACAACGACATCAGACCGTGCATAGATAAGTACGAAATCCTTCAAGCCCCACTTAAAACAAAAGAAAACGTTAACAAAACAGAATTATACCAACTCTGTGATGAATCTGCCGTACTCCTCGGCCCAGAGGTCGTCTCCCGACTCTTCAAGAGAGCCACCACCCTCAAGTTCCTCTCTGATCTGATACGACATGGACGAGGGAAGGTTTTCCAGCCCAACCTCTTCCGAAAGTGCCTCATAAGCATCCGGAAGATTGGAAACTGGGTCGAATGTTGAAGGCGACATCTCTGAGGGTTCATCGAGCTCTTCGGCAAGCTCTTGTACCCTGCCAAATGTGTCTTCCGATGCTGGCCAAGTCTCTGACGGGCCTATGTCCCTGGAGAGGCTTTCTTCCGCTAGTACATGCGAAACCTCTACAGAACTTGACGCATGTTCTTTCGAGCCCGACTCGACTTCATCGAGAGGCTGGTCTTCTTTTGAGGACGCTTCCACAGCTGGGCCTTCTCCATCGGATTCATCACCATAATACCGCCGCACGTACACTGGCACATTTTCTTTCTCATTGGTATCGTTAAGAGCCACGTCTTTCTGACGTAGGAGATCCTCATCGGCTTCAGTCCATCCTGCATGGGACTTCAAGAGTCGCACGATTGCGTGGTGACCTTCTCTCTCCGCAAAGGCGACAGACCTGACGAACTGCCGGCGACCGCGACCGCTCGTTTGGGCACCGTAATTGAGAAGCAGTTGGACGATATCTAGTCGCCCATTGTGCGCTGCAGTTTCGATAGCTGTCCGGCCGCAACGTGACCCACCTCCTCCACCTCCTGGTGCGTTGGGGTCAGCACCCAACTCTAGCAGTCTTCGGACAACGCCAAAGAATCCTCGCAACGCAGCCCATTGGAGTGGGATTAAACTGTCATCAGGATACGGAGCCTCGTTTACGTCCGCGCCGCAATCAACGAGCTGTTGAATCAAGCCGACATCTCCCGCCCAGGCCGCTGACTGTAACGGCGTCCAAAGGGTCCAATATCCTGGGAAATTGCGCGCCAGAGACTGTGCATCTTCCGACCTCTCATTGATGTCGACTCCAACGAAAAGAAGCCACTGTATGGTTTCGCTACGCTTTTTGCGATCCTTTTTGCCAAATGCTTCGCTAAAAATGGCGTGCGCAAGTACCCTCTCTGTCATTCGGACTCCGATGCTGTGCAAAAACCGAAGAGTATCAATGCTCAAAATATGTGTAAAACCAATATCCAGAGGATTTGTAGGTCCTGGTTGATATCCGTAACCTGACAGAAGCTTCAAAAAGTCCAGGTGATCTAAGCAAACAGCAACCTCGATGATGGGCCGACTAGGGCTTGGCCGGTGATCCTCGGAGCAAGTACAAAGTTTTCTTCGCCAACTAAGGTAGCCCCGGGTGATAGATGTATCTGAGATAGATTGTTCCGATCTCGCTAATGCGTCACGGAGCCAGCTGATGGAAGGGTCAAAGTACCAGGATGTTTTGGGATGGAAGCCGTAACTCAGCATTTTCTTCGGAATTTCCATACACCCTAATGCCGCTGCAAGACACATGGCCGTCCCGATCCAGGTATCTTGAGAGGCTAGAAGCTGAGATTTGTAGGTTAAGAGATGGTTTAGAATGGTGAAATCACCAGTTGCTTTTGATAAAGAGACGGACGCACACAGCGCTTGACCTGTGACGGATCGCTTATGAGCTGCAATGAGTCGATGCACCAAATTGGCTTTACCAGAGAGTATCGCAGCTTCCATAACTGTGTCAGCGCCGAAGATTGTGCATTCGTCTAGAAAGGAAGCTCCTCTTTCGAGAAGACCATCGATAATCTCGAATTGATGGTTCCAGATGGCCATTACCAGTTCGCCGCCAACAACTTCAGCTCCTGCAGCCAAGAGAAAGACTGCGGTCGTTGTTTTGCCTCCGAGCAATGCTGCTTGAAGCGCTGTTCTGCCGAGACTCCCGATCGAGTCGCGTCGTTCTTCCTCATATTCCCTAATGAGGTTGGTCGGGTATGAAAGGCGCATCGAGGTGGCGTCTTCAAAAGGAACTTTCAAAAGTGCTGGGCGCGGGTGGCAGAAGTTGATATCTGCGCCCCAGTACAGTAACTTCTGAACCATGCCAACGTCTGAGAATGAGGCGGCCCATTGCAATGGAGTGGGTGCTTCATGGCCAGGTTCTAACGTGGCGCCTAAGTGCAACAGACGCTCACACAACCGAATATCGCCCTTGTATACAGCCGCCGTCATTGGTGTCTCTGGGTAGTAGCCGCATGAGTTGAAACAATGGCCAAGCTCGGCTATCAAGTCATAGACTAAGCGACTGTTGGTTCTGATTGCTGCGATGAGAAGCTGAGCTTTTGCGGCTGAGCTGCTTTTACAGAAGTTGGATCGGAAATATCCGATTATAGCCTCGGTCGCGGGTGTGGCCGCTGTATAACTTATCCACCAGAGTAGACGAACGGCCTGTATCTCGTCTTCCGGACGGAAGCGATAATACGACAGCAAGATTCTCATCGTTTTCTCCGGTGAACCCTCGGCTGTTTTCCGACGTAACCAAGCCGTGGTTAGAGTCCCGATATCGATCTTCTGAGTGTCTGCCCCGTGTTCAATGAGCATTTGAAGTAACCCGGCCTGGTTCAAAATCGCGACATGTTGCAGTGCAGTGTCGCACGAATAGGAAAACCTTCCTGTGTCAGAGAAAGAGCTATTGACATCGACCCCTGCTTGAAGCAGAAGTTCAACAGCCCCGAGATCGGATGCTTTGATGGCTTCTCTGAACAGGCCATCTAGCGATGACTGTAAGCTCAGCGGTAGGCTCTCGTATAGGCCTTTTGCGAACACGTCTGACCCGCCTTCTCGAAAGAGACGGAGCAGCAAGTGCGTGGCAGCAGTGTTTCGTTCTTGTTGCTCAAAGTCGAAAAGGTTATTTGACAGGACAAACATCAGAAAAACCAAGACTTCCGCATTGATGGTGTTGGATCTCTGTAGTAGGCACTGAGCTCTGGTAGCATGGGCGCCCTCATGCTCCTCGGGCATAATCGAGCGAAGTGTTTTGAAGGTTTCCCCTAGTATTGTCGTGTAGCTCTCCAGCTGTAGGTCACACGTTGGAAACAGGATCGACTCCACTAGTCCTTCAGATGAACAAACACGGGAATCATAGGTGATTATCATGTCACTCTGCACTTTGATTGAGAGACCTGTCAGGATGTGGATCAGTCCCATGTACATCCAGATAAGGGGCTGTTTCGTAAATAATGACTTACCATCAATGAGCTTTCTGGAAAGAAGCCACGGAATGTTGACCACTCCGCACGGCCAACTCATCTCTTCAGGTGCTGGTGTGCACACAAGGAGTGGCTGATCTTGCGGCATGAGCGGCTCGGGTACGTCTTTCCCAGTCAGCTTTATGCTTCATACGGCCGTGAAGGGTGACACTTACGGCGCATGGCCTTCTCTATGGCAGTCTCATAGCAGTGCCTTGAAATCCCCCTTTCGACGGCTTTCGTACGTAAAGGTATGCCGGAGAGGTAGACCTTGCTTTCCTTGCCTCTGCATTTTCGCCGATGTATCTCGTGGCCAACATACTTCCAGTCCATGGCGCCCATGTTCTTAGTGAGACGCCACTGTTTCAACTTCCACTCCAGTTGTGCTTTGCTATCACGATGCATCAGACACATCAGTGACTTTCCGGTATGTGCATATGTTGCCAGAGAACTGCAGAGGTAGTGCCCACCTTGGATAAAAGCTATGGAAGGCACCCAGAATGAGGAGAACATCTTTTAGATTCTGATCCTCTTCGAGATAATGCTTCCGAATGATGGGCCTGAGACGCTCCCAATCCTCGTCGCGAATGCTTCTTCGAGGCGGCATGGTGAAAGCCAAGGATGAATGCTCCTATTATGTGGGTTCGATACTTGCGGTCCTCAGGACTTAAAGGGATTTTCACCCTCCGAAACAAGTCGAGAGCTTATGATTGTGGCCACAGCCTGATTTATATTCCTACCGGATTGCATTCTGCTGCCAAGCCAAAGAGCCGACCTCAT